ATATGAAATTAATCTTAAATAAACAATCATTTTCTTTCACAATTGAAAATAACGTGTAATTGTTTATTCTCAATTAAGTTTTATATTTTGCAAAATACATTTGTACAAATAAAAGTATTTAATAGATTTTCTGTGTTGGATTCTTCTTATAATTATTTTCTACCAATACCATTTAAATTAACTATCCCAGCAGAAGTAAGTTGATCTGGCATAAGTAAATGTTTTTCCATCAGCTTCTCCATGAAATTCAAATCTGCACAAGAATATGTCATTATAAAGGTAATCAACTTGGAAGTTAATTGTCCATATTTTGATATGATGACTTGATACTATAAGTGCCTATAATTTTAAAGAAATTTGGTCCGTGAACTAAAGATATTAAATTGATTCTTAATGTCCCGGCACCAAAGCCATCTCTAGATTGTTGAGGGATTAGCTGATTCAAAGGTTGTGTTCTCAACTCTTCTCTCAGTTTTTGCCTATTTTTCAGCGGAATCTTTCTGATTATTCACTGAATACAGTTCAAGTGTACATCAGAGCAGTTGATATTTACTGTTTGATATATATATATATATATATATATATATATATATATATATTGTTTTCCTTTTCCTTTTCTTCTCTCATGATATGCGGCATTGTCACCAAGTGTGATGTCCAGTAAGGTGCCCGCTAAGAGGACTCGGTCAGACGGCGTTAGTACTCCTCGTGATTCACCAGCCAAACAAAGGACTCGTCGCTGCCTACAAGAAACCGCTCCAATAATCACTGTAAACACTGTAGATCCAGAACCTCAGTATCAACCAGGTACGTCTTCGTAAGAAATGGTTCAAGAATCCCCTTTCTTTACTCCAAAACCGTTCCAAGTGCTTCAGAAAGACAGAGAAGTAATGGAGTCAGCAGCAATACCCAGGAAACCAAGGCCTCCTCCAATATTTGTAAAAAAACATAAACAATTTCCAATTATTGTGTACACAACTAAACAAAATCTGATCTGGCAGTTATTCCTGTCTCCACAGGACCAACGATACAAAAATAACACCAGATACTGCAGAAACATACTGAAAAATTGTGAAGGACCTGTCAAAAACGAATGCAAATTTCCACACGTACCAGCTGAAATAGGAGCGATCTTTACGAGTGGTGATAAGAAATTTACACTCCTCAATCCCAACTAAATTGATTGAAATTGGTAACCAACGTTCTGAAGGGCAATAACGAGCAGCCAGCAGCAAAAAATAAAGTTCCGCTACCTTTATTTTTCTTAGATCTAGAGCCATCATTTGGTATAAAGAAAATATATGAAATCAAGAGATTGTAGCACACTATCGTGAAGATATCGAAGCCATACCCGCAGAGAGAAATCGTGCAGTGCCACAATTGCCAGGAATATGGACGAACACACGAAGGCTTACTGCCACCACTTGCGGCGTTACTGAAATTTGGTTAACAACACAAATCAGCAGAGTGTAAGAAACTGATACAAGATCTAACAATTTGTGTCCTATGCATAGAGGGACACTCGGCCAACTACAAAGGCTGCCAAACTTATAAAAACCTCAAATCCAGATACCAGAAGAACCGGATTCAAGATGAGATAACCAGACCAAAAAGAGAACCTTCTAAAATTGTTAATAATAATCTATCATTCTCCCAACTACTTGGAGGTAAGAATCCACCTAATTAAGTGAAGCCCTGCCGCAGCAACTACCTCAACTCCAACCTCAATATCCTGTTCATCCTAACATATCTAACCGTCAAAAACATCAAATTCCTCATATTCCTCCTCCCTTTAATGCCACAGATCTCACCCGTTTGTTGTCATCAATCCTCATTGAATTATATATCACTTTGTTATATATCATTGAATTATATCACTCCTTACAAATCTTGTATCTCACCTCATCCCTCCTGTGAAAAATCCTTAAATGACTCCTATCAAACATGCATCTATTCTCCTTTGGAATGCGAATGGTGTTAAAAATAACGTTGACGAACTAACAGCTTTACTACTAGACAAGAACATTGATGTAGCCCTAATTACAGAAACTTGACTGACCATAAAACAGCATTTAAAAATACCACAATACTCCACACACCGTACTGACTATCCTGACGGTAGAGCACATGCCGGTAGTGTTTCCATCGTACACCAATCCCTCTCCCATTACTTACTCCCATTACCTACTCAAGATTTCCTACAATCAACCGCTATTGTAATTAAAACCTTCTCCTTTCCGGTAACCCTTTCATCAGCACATTGCCCTCCTAACAGATCCATATCCAAAGTCCAGTTCAGTTCTCTCTTCAACTCCTTAGGTCATCATTTCATCCTGGGTGCAGACTTAAATCCCAAGCATCAAGAATGGGGTTCAAGAAACACGAATTATCGTGGCAGAACATTGCTGTCTGCACTCAATTCCCAACGTTTCAACATCCTTCCACCCAACTCACCTACCTACTGGCCCACTGATCCTAACCGCAATCCTGACATCCTTGATTTTTTCATCCACAGTGGTTTAGGTTCCCTCAATCATTCCCTTACCCGTCTTGACTAACTTTCCTCAGATCATAGTTCATTAATACTTCTATTATCAATAGCTCCTATTCATAAACCCCCTCTAATGCCCTTCATCAGTGGCCCAGTTAACTAGAAACTCTTTTCATCAAATCCTTTCTGATAAAATTGACCTTATAATAACTCTGAAAATCCCAGACGATCTCGATAATGCCGTACATTCCTTTACCACCACTATTAAGCAAGCAGTCTGGACTGCTTCCTCCCCAAATCTCTCCTCGAAAATTCCTAGGAAAAATAATTTACCTCAGTAACTGCTAGACCTAATTCACAGCAAACGCCGTGCCATAATATTATGGCAACGTTCAAGACACCCCACCGATCGCCGCTCTTATGATTATTTCACTAAACGGTTTAATCAGGAATTGACCTCCTTCAAATTCCAATCCCTCAACTCCTTACTTCCCTCTCTGTTCATGACAATTCCCTATGGAAGATCATCAACAAAATCTTAAAATCCCATCATATTTCCCATTATCTCCGTCGATGGATTTATGGGTCGAGACTTACATACAACATATCCATGGACATGCGTTTTTATTTCGCTTTCGAATTCGTGACATTTATCACAGATAGAATTTTTGTAACCAAAGTAACAAGCAATAATCGGTTGGAGCAAGGTCTGGAGAGCACTGAGATAGAAGTAGAAATTCCCAATCAAACTGCAAGAGTTTCTCTCTTACGACCAACGAAACATGCGGTATTGGAACCTCTTATACCCTTTTTTCATAAATTGTTGGGAATTACTAGCACAATATTCATCGAGGTGCGTTTTTATTTCATTTTTGGATTTGTTACATTTATCACGGATAGAATTGTTTAATGAAAGAAACAAGTAATAATCGGATGGGCCAAGGTCTGGTGAGTACGGAGAATAGAGTGGAAAGTCCACTAGTGTTTCTATCATACGTTCAATACCGGATGCTCCGTTGGCCTTAAGACAGAAACTCTTGCAGTTTGTGAATTACTACCTGATTCTCCGTGCTGCCCAGACCTTGCCCCATCCGATTATTACTTATTTCTTTCATTAAACAATTCTCTCCGTGCTAAATGTAACAAATCCGAAGTTAAATAAAAACGCATCTCGATGAATATTTTACTAGTAAGTCTTAACAATTTCTGAAAAAAAAGATATAAAAGGCTTCCTGAGAGGTGGTGGAAGATAATAGAGCAGATCGGTTCATATATAACACGGCAAATCAAACTCAAACAACAAATAAAGGAAAAGGAAAGAACTTATGGGACACCCTAACATATGTTTTTCGTTCCGAAAATTGTGATGTTAAAGACGAACGTCGCCCTGGCTGGCCAACGATTGAAAAAGTCGATGTAATTCTCGAAAGAATCGAGGTACACAGACATGTTTCTTCCCATCACATCGCTACGGAACTAAACATCGAATAAAAGAAAAGTTGTGAACCATTTATACAAGGTTGGATACCAAAAGAAGCTTGATACATGGGTTCCACATGAATTAAAACTGAACAATTTAATGGACTGAGTTTCCATTTGTGAATTGCTGCTGAAACGAAACGAAATCGAGTCATTTTTGAAACAAATGTTAACGGGCAATGAAATATGGATCACGTACGACAATCATGTGCGTAAAAGATCATGTGCATAAAATATCGTGGTCAAGGCCCGGAGAACCATCACGGCAAGACCGTGAAGATTGGAAGAAGCCAAGACCTGTAACTGGATTTTAGTGCCGTGAAATCATAAAGCATTTATCAGGAATACGTAATTATTTTTGACGCTGATTACACCATTGAACTAATTGAAAGTACATCTTTCATTTTCTGTTGTTCAAAATTAAGGAAGAAAAAATATTGTAGGTGCCCATGTAGGTTCTATAATTTCGTAGACTCATGTTTTGGTGATTTTTGAAGGTTGAAAATATATACAAAGTGTTTAGGAATCATTATACCAAAGCAAAAAATAAAAATTTATTTGTAACATATTCCAGAAGTTTTTCTGTGATCGCTGCACGAAAAGAAATAATTTTAAAAACATAAATATTTTATCTTTGAAAACATAATTTTTTTTATCCTTGGCATTGGCTCTTGAAATTTTACACTCGAAATTATCTTGTCAAAAATATTTTGTATCAATAACAATGTAAAATTAATTTATAGCTGTTGATCAATTTTTTAATTATAACTTGAGATTGGAAAACCGTATTTTCAAACCTCCCCCTCCTCCTTATATTCAAGTAGCTAATTATTTCCCCGGGATTTAAATAGGCGATATTTGATTAAATTTTCATTTGTTTTAATTTGAATGTTCCCGGTAAGTCGCTTTCTCTGCACACTTGGCGAAAGAAATAACTGCTTCCTGCAGATTCCCACAATCCGTTTTTAATAAAATTGTATTCATGATTATAATAATGTGTAATTTATTTTCTAGTAGTAATGACTTTACAGGTATGGAGTTGTGTTGGCTCTTAGTTGGAGCACTGGTGTCTCTCTTGAGCAGAGTCCAAAGCGGCATTCTCTATCCCAGGGAGAGTGAAACAAGGCAGGTCAAATCTTTGGACGGAATATGGCAGTTCCGGGCCAGCAACGATACTGTGGACGGCATTAAAGAGACCTGGTATGCAGAAAGGCTTTCACAGGTAATATTCCTTTTTCTAGGTCGGTAATTCATCGTTTCTCTCTAAAATTTATTATTAATGCGCTAGTCGGTTAATTATTTTTACTCAACCCTTCCTCCACAACTTCCGGTTAAAGGTTTAAAGTGCTGTTCTTGATAAATATTAATTCATTTTACGACCAGTATGTTTTTTTCAGTAATAAATCTTGTTTAAATTATGCTATTGACATATCTTAAAGTATGTGTATTTAATATTTTAAACCTCAGAACAATGGCGTTATTCAATTTGTGCACATGACCATATAATCTCCATCGCTTATTAAAGAAAAAATGTAGTTAATTTTATATGTAAAAACAAATAAAAAATAGTTCATTGAGATTAAATAAATCAACTGAATCGAAATGTCTTCATTCTGATATATGCTATCCCCACAGCTAGAGCAACAAGGCTTCTAGACTGTGCTTATGTTGGAGGGAGTGGGTTGAAATTCATTGAAAGAGGTTTTCATAATCTATAATTTTCTCTTATGCACATAAAACTTATGTTCCAGTTTGTTTGTTAGGATAAATAGTTTTTTTAGCATAGAAATATTAATTTCATGTACAATTTGATATCGGTTATTGACTTTCATAGTATCAGTAAACTTGAGTAAAATAAATTACTTTAACAGTGCCTGGTTGATTGGAATTAAAAATAAAAACTTTCTACTTTTATCCTGTCTTATGGTAAAGTTACTAGATAAGGATTTAATCTATTACAAAATCTATCATCATTTAAATCTGGCTGATAATACTTCTTTTTGTACTTAGAACACATAAAAGTATTAAACTCAATAAAATATATTTTTTAAAAAATATTTCTTTTATTTTTTTACTTTTGTTTTTATTTTGTTTCACAAGGCTAAAGGATAGTGAATAATAAATGAAAGTAAGGTTGTATATCTTTAAATATAATGGCTTATTAATTAGACACATATACACATCAATAAAAACTAATTGGGATATCCTATTTATAAGAAAACAATACATGTTTTCCATAGCCCTAACTAATATTTATATACTAATGTACCGAAATAAATTATATAAGCATGATAGAGAAGTTTCAAATCCCTTTCGTTTCCACATGGCTATGATTGGTTTTATATTAATGGACTTATTACTATTTTATTTTTTCTGAATTCTACAATCAATCTCAAACAAATTTACTTCCACTTAGCTAATTTTGGTTGGAGCTTTTTCTAGTCAAGGCTTGCTATTATTTCTTATATTTCCAGAGTGGTCCAACTATCCCAATGCCAGTTCCAAGCAGCTACAATGACATAACTGAGGAAAAGGCACTGCGTGAACATGTAGGAGTGGTCTGGTATGAAAGAACTTTCTTTGTACCTCAATCTTGGAAAGATGAACAGCTCCGAGTTTGGATCAGGTTTGGCAGTGTCAACTACCTCGCTCATGTGGTAAGGTGTCATCAGTTGGATTATAAATAATTATAACTGCAATGTTTAACACAGAATATTTGTTATATTTCAGTTTCTTATTACAACTCCTTTTTTTTTTTCATTGAAAATTCATTAAGTAATATTTGAATTCATTTCTGATCCCAATAATCTACTCAATCGACTTCATTGAAAATCATCGAAGAATTTCAATACTCCATAGATAATAAGAAAATCATTTCACTACTTATTTTCAATACTTCACTGGATTTATCATAAAATTATTTCCTCTGAGTTCTAAAGCCTATTGAATAGTATTTTAACATGACTCCTCTCCTCTTTTTCTTACTTGTAGTTCCTCAAACATACCAAAAAACTCATATCATTAATTGCAATCAAAAATTTCAGTTTCATAATTTATGTAAACTATTATATTTCTTCAACATCCGGCATATGCTGATGATGTTGCCATTACCTCTAGAACCCAAGCAGCGTTATCAGGAACTTTCCAGAAATTCGAAGAAGCAGCAACAAAACTGGACCTTAGAGTTTATGGAAATAAGATAGTGTACATGAAAAGTTCAATCAGAAAGGAAAATGAAATATGAAAGTGAACAAGGAAATAACTTTAAGGGATCACAACTTCAGATATGTTGATTGGTTCAAGTACCTTAGAATCCTGGTCACATGCAATAACAAAATAGAAAGTGAAATAAAGGGCAGGATAGCACCAGGAAATAGATGCTATTTCTCATTGCAAAAAGGCTTGAAATTTAGATCACTCTTTAAAAGAATCAAAATCCTCATCTTCAAAACCACAGTAAGGCCAGTGGTTAAATATGGGTTTGACCGTAACCAAAAACTCAGAATGCATGCTCAACTCCTATGAGATAAAAAAGTATTGAGAAGAATATGGGGCAGAATGTCTGAGAATGGAATTTGGGGAAGAAGAAAGAATGAGGAGCTGAAAAATTTTTTTGGAGAACCTGATATTGTGCGATTAATGAAAACAACCCAGATAAGGTTGATAGGTCATCTGGAAAGGAGGCGGTGGCCGAATAGGCTAAAGCGTGTGCACAGCACCGCTAGTTGCCTGGCAACCGGATAACAGAGATTTGAGATGATATAAAAAGTACGAGTTCGCTTCCCAGTGCCGGAGGGGATTTTAAATTCCCCGCCCTCACCCCCCGGCAAAGGGGAGGTAGGGAAGAACAAAAAAAAAAAAAAGGTCATCTGGAAAGAATGCACGATCATAGAATGCCAAAGAGGATGCTCTGTGAGAAAGCTGGATGGCAAAAGAAGTAGAGGACACCCACGGATCAGATGTCTGGAGGACATGGAGGATGATCTGAGGTGGCTGGGCATTCAAAGATAGAGAGAAATAGCACAAGATCGTGGAGATTGGTTGGCTGTAATGGAGGAGATCCGACTTCTTGCAGGAGCTTACCACCATTATAATAATAATAATTATTATTATATTTCTTATTGGGCTGAAGGATAAAAACATTTGATTATTATTTACTTACATTATGAATTTTATAATTTAATCAAATAAATTATGGTGGGCCAGGTGATACTTGTTGGCCTACTCTGTTCCACAGGCCATAACTTGTAGATCTCTGAAATAGCCATATCCCCATATCCCAAATCATTATTTGGCTTTTTGGACAATTTTTTTTCTATTTTCAAACACTTTTACTTCTACATGGTTATCACTTATATCATATCTGTATACTATTTGCATTATGTTCTTTCATTTTCTTGATTTGAAGCTTAAAACTCTGTTACTGAATAGACACTTTTATGATTTTTATTAATGGCACTTTTAAATTTAACATTTAAAAGGGTGTGCCTATACTATTCTGTTTCAAACTCAATTAATAATAGCTTGACCTAGTGCATCTTGGTTTTTAATTTTAAAAACTTCTTTTTGTAATTTCATCTTCTAGTGGATCAATGGTAAACCTGTAGCCTACCATGAACTTGGTCACCTTCCATTCCAGCAAGAAGTAACTGAGGTGTTAACCTATGGATCTGAAAACAGAATTACAGTTGCAGTCGACAATACATTAAGTCCTATCACTGTTCCTCAAGGATCACTAGATAAAATACAAACGTAAGTACAGTCAAGTAGAACATTTTTATCAATGATAAAAATATATATTGATTTGATTCTATTGCAGAATAAATGGACCAAAAACTGTTCAGAGGTATACATTTGATTTCTTCAATTATGCTGGAATCCATAGATCTGTTCATTTATTTACCACACCAAACGTCTACATTGATGATGTTACAATAAATACTGACGTAGTTGGCTCCAAAGGTAAATATGAGGACATCAATATAGTTGGTCCTACACTTAGGAAATTGTTTAATTTTACTGATTGACAAAACACTGGTCTTCAACTTTTATTTTATTTTATTTATTTTTATTATAGGTATTGTATACTTCAACATCACCTATAATGGGACCTTTGATAAAAATTCAGTAGGTTGCTGGGTTGGATTGTTTGATGCTGATGGAGTACCTGTTGCCAGTACTCCTTTAAATGATAAAATTGAAGCAAATAGTTTCACTGGGTATTCAGAGATTCCTAATGCTAAACTATGGTGGCCTTACATGATGAATCCAGAACCTGGCTATTTGTACACCCTTGAGGTGAACCTTAAACACTTTTTGTTATAATATGGTATGTTTCAAATATACAGAAAATGTTCATCCCAGTTTGAATCAGACTTAAGTAAGCAACTGAAGTATCTGATTATAATTCTGCTCACAGTCTGATTTTTGGGAATGCATTACTGGGAATGAAATCTGTATAAACATAAAAATTTTGTTGTGAAAATAATATTAAAAAAAAAAAAAAGGATGGAAATTAAAAAGTTGTTCATCCTTCTATTCTGATCAAATTATATATTTCTTATTACAACTCAAATAAAACCTGAAAAGTGAACTATATTACAACAAATTTAAGTCATAAAATCCCTGAATCGTTATTCTCACCACATCAGGTTAACAATATTAGTATTAATATTAATGTTATTATTAATTATTATTAAAATAGACTATGATTTTAGGTACGTCTCTTAAATTTAGCTAAAGGAAATAATAATGTACAAGATATTTATCGGCAACGTATTGGAATACGAACAATACAATGGACAAATTCAAGTCTGTTACTGAATGATAAACCTGTTTATTTCAGGGGATTTGGCAGACATGAAGATTCAGATGTAAGTAGTGATTAAAAAAGATTTGCTATTTGCTTAAACCCTTATTTATTCCTCAAATACAAAATAAAAAATATTTTATTTGCCTAAAGTTTCATTACTTATATGGTTCTCGAGATAAAATAAAAAATTCTCTCTCCTCGAAAAATAAATAGTCGGTGGCCATTCAAAAGTCACTTCAGGTCCATTTGTAATGCTTCAATAGTTTTGGAAATTAGTCTTTATTTTCTTACTTTGTGGGAATTAGTCACTTTATACACAATTATTCAAATATTAAATGCAAATTTATCGAAATCCTTAACAATGCTTTATCTATCTTTATTATTCACAGCTTCAGAAAGATATCAATTTTTTTTAAATTACCATACAGCACACTATGCCCGTTTTGCACCATGGATAATATTTTCCGAGACACTAGAATAATCTCAGTGTGCTTATTGCTCTTATTGACTGGTTTATTAATTACAATATCAGGATTATTTTTCTAAATAATCTTTTTGATTTTTTCACAGATTCGGGGAAGGGGATTAGATTTAGCTTTAGTCACCAAAGATTACAACCTACTGAAATGGATTGGAGGCAATTCATACAGAACATCACATTATCCCTATGCTGAAGAAATCATGGACTTTGCTGATGAACATGGAATCATGATTATTGATGAATGCCCTGGTGTCAATATAGAGTAAATATTTTATTAGAGTAAAAACAGATCCCACATTTGAGAAGTAATTTTAGAATTCTGACTCAAGAGTAATCAAATTTATATTAATTAAGAACTACATTCCAAAAAGTTGTTTTCAAGGAAAAAAAAAAGTAAATACAGTTATACAACATCGGGACAGTATATTTATTATTTTACTATTTATTTATGGATAAATAATAATAATTTCATGAGTTATTCCAATTTTATTAATTATTTTATAATGTTTTTTATTGTTTCTACAGTTTATTTTCACCAGATCTACTTCAAAAGCACAAAGACTCTCTCACAGAACTGATTCAACGAGATAAGAATAGGCCATCTGTTATTATATGGAGTGTTGCTAACGAACCCAGAACTCAACATCCTGCCTCTGCTGACTATTTCAGGTAACTAAACTACATTTCAAAATTTAAAATAATAATAATATTGGGATTATTGCGGTTAATCCATAGAGGCCTTGTGAAAACACAGCCTGCCATGTAAAATCATGAGGTCTGCAGGGAAATATTACATATCTACTGAAACTTTTCTCATTGTACTTATATAGTAAATAAGTAATAAATACTAATTAGTTTGTATCATTGTCATAATATGCAAAGAGGACAACAAACTCCGGTTCTAAACATCTGAAAGAATAAAAAATAAGCCTTGTAAAATTAACAATGCATAAACAAATGTCTCAATAATTATTATTCAGGAGTTAATTATATTTGACCGTAATAAAGCAATAAAATTTTATAGTGACTTAGGATTTTGTAACAGTTATATTATGTACATTCTGAATGAAGTACATTAAATAAAGTTTTATTCTTTTTTTTTTTAACAACTAAAGTCATTAAAATAATGCTTAAATTAAATGTGACCTCATGTAACATTATACGTTTTAAAAGTGGCCGGTGAAACCATTTGCGTTGGCCTCATACCTCATATATAGTATGTAACAGGTGGGAAACCTGTGGCCTTCAAGCATCGTTTGACCTCCATGAGCTAGCTGCAGCCTCTGATAGTATAGTAATAATAATTTCATAACCATAAATTTGTTTATATTATCACCAATAGAACTTATCACAATTCATTTGTATACAAGTTACAGTTATTATTAGAACTTGAATTCATATACCGAGAAAACTGAGCGGTGAAACCATTTGGGTTGGTGTGGCCTGGTATATAATCTATTTGATATTACTATTTGAAAGTACTTTTTCTGAAATTACCATTTCCTTTACATCATTTAGTTACTTTTATTAATTATTAATAAAATTTATTAATTCTGGTGATTATTTCAAGTCATATAGCATATAACATTCTGATTTTTAAAAAATACTAATAGAGTGTATTGAAAAAATGACGGTTTTTCAACCAAATATTTGTATTCTTATTTCTTTGATATAAAATACAATTAACAGTCGAAGTATAGTTCATTGTTATTTACCACCATTAGCCATCTACTAGCCCATGCTGATACCATTCTTTGGGATAGCTGTCAAAGAACTCTTGGACCACAATTTCATCTTCTGCAAAATTATCAAATTTTTCCTTGAAGAAAAAGGGCCATAGATCTTAATAAGTAGTAATCCAATGGTGCGAGTTCTGGACTATGTGATGGATGAGACAGGAGTTTTTCAAGCAAGAGATTTTCAATAAATTTTTACAAATTTCTACCTCTTAGCTGATTGCTGAGGAGTAAGTTCGTGAGGGACTAGTCTATTGATTTTTTTCACCTTCCCCATGGAGAGTAGATGGTGACTAACAGTATCTTTTGACACACCACACTCCCTGGAAATTTCGCGAGTACTTGTGGATGGATTTGACCCAACAGCTTCATGCAGAACCTCATCAATATCCATTAATGGTTACCTGGAGCCCTTCTTCCATTCCAAGGTCGTATCTCCACTGCAATTTTTTTCAAACTAACGCTGCGCAGTGTGCAGGACACCTTCCCCATTATATTTAATAATTTCACAAGTTGCTTCAGCTGTGAAATTTTTTTTCAGTAATGCCTTAAAATTACGAGAATTTCGTAAGACACTGTCATGTTTCTTCTTTGAAACAAATAACTAAACTGAGGCTTTTTTTTAAGAATTTAAATGCGATTAAACAAGCTTAGAGAAGGCACTAAAGCAATTATTGTGAATTGGTAAATATTAAATAGGATTAAAATATTCACAGTCCTTTGAAATCTTGAATATGATAAAACGGTCATTTTTTTTATACACCCTATTATATGGTATAATTTATCATTTCTCTTTGGAAGTATTATTTCTGACGTTGGCATTATATTTACCTTCTTTAGTTACTTCTTTAATGAATACCATTTTCTCAATACTAAATAATTTAATAATCATAAAAATTTGTATATTATCATTAATAAAACTCGTAACCATTCATTTTTATGTGTTATTCTTATTGTTAGAACTTGAATTCATATACTGAGAAAATTCCAAAAAAAATATGTCTTTTAATGTGCAATAAAATTATTTAGAAGAGATGTGGATTATATCAATGTATAATTATTAAAATTAAAAAAAAAATTAATTTGTACCTAGTTCTGCCATAAATACTGTTACGAAAGTTGAACTTTGTTTACATCCTTGGTTATTATTTAGATAATCCTTACCTCTAGCAGGTTATTTTCTTTACACATCAGGATAATAATCCTTATTGGTTTGTATTTTTCTTTCGCTCAATTAACATGGAGTGGGCTGATATAGAAAACCGAATAACTGTGACCGCCTTACACACTTTGAAACCTTTGGGTATCAGTGGTATGTTCAGGATTAGACGTGAAAGAGTACTAGCTATGCACTCTGACACTCTAATCCGAGAATATCAGGACCGAAAATGTAAGGTTGGGATAGATAGCAGCAGAAGACATAAACCAAATAGTGGAATAAATTGCTACACAGATGGCTCTCTAACAGCCTTCGGCTCTGGAGCAGGCATCTATCGCAAAGATATTAAAGAAAAAATTTCTATACCACTTGGCAGGTATGCTTCAGTTTTTCAATCTGAAATACTGGCAATCTGCCACTGTGCACAAAACCTACTGCAAAGCAATGTGACTGAGAAAAAGACTACCATCTATACTGACAGTCAGGCAGCAATAGGTGCTATTGACAACTATTATGTTTATTCAAAGGTCGTTAAGGAATGCAATAGAGCACTTAACGAGCTAACTGAGCACAACAGAGTTGCAGTGGAGTGGGTGCCAGGTCACTCTGGCATACCAGGCAACGAGGTGGCTGATGAGCTAGCCAGATTGGGCTCAGATACCATTCCTGTAACTCCCGAGCCTGTCTGTGGAATCAGCCTCAGTACTGCCAAGGGGACAAATTTAGTAATTACTGGACCGACAAGAAACAGAGACATTCGAAGCTGTTCCTAAAAGGTCCATGTGAAAAAAGAAGTAAACTGCTACTGAACATGGACAGAGCAGCCCTTAAAAAGCTTACAGCTATCTATACAGGTCACTGTAAGCCAAATAATCATATCGACGTGCTTATGGCCAACATAAAAAAAAAAAAAAAAAAAAAAAAAAATCAGCGGTATGTTCGTTTACCGCACTATAAATAAATATAATGAGACCCCATCTGTATGTGACAGACCTCAACTGTGACAGAGCTGTCCCCGAACTGTGAGAACAGCAACTGCAGTGAGATCAGTGGCATTTGAAAACAATAAATCATGTTTCGGGAAATGAGAATGTCTCTGTCAGATCAATATCTTACATAATAAAAAATGATCTTAGGATGGGTGCATTTCGAAGAATGACAGGACAAGGGCTAACCACTTCCATAAAAGAAATTAGAGTGGATAGATGCAAAGTGGGAAGTTTGCTTTGATGGTACCACAAAGCTCTATTTTTGTGAAAAATGAGTTAAAACAGTAATCTGTTTTGTTTGTTTTTTTCCTCTCAATAGATATACATTTTATTTTTTAATAAAGTTTTTGAAAAAAATCATTTTTCTGTTGAAAACTGTATTTACTTCCTGGTAACAATATTTATGACAAGACTAGGTAAATAGTGTTACTGTTGATAATTAGCACTTCCTTCTAACATATGGTTTAATTTAGATCATTAAATGCCTTATGAAAATTGTAATAATCAATACAAACTTTTATTTTCTTATTAGATCTGTGGTAAACCATGTCAAGACAATAGATGACCGCCGTCCTGTGACATTAGCTATGATACAAGGACCTGACAATGACTATGCTGTGAGTTATTGGAAATTTTAATTTTCTCTGATAATCGCATAATTTTCATGATTTGATAACTCTTCCCTGGTGAAACAATAGAGGGAGAGGAGATTCTGGCGGAAGTCTTCCTTCCCCCAAAATAGAAAAAAAAAAAATTTTTGTACATATTTGTTTCTGTGAGTGATCTGAGCTAAATACCATACCAATCAAAATATGTACTCTTTTTAAACCATAACGCATGTATTTCAGGAACTAAATGTAAGCACGTGGCAAGAAAAAAAAATTTAAACAGAAAAGCATTAATTTCCCAGAAAATGGATTATTACTTTACATAGTTTCTTTCTTTTTGGAAATAACTAAGCCGATATTGTAGGTTATAGAAGCATTCCATTACTTGTTGATAAAAGTTTAGATTTTTTATCATTTACGATTTGAATAGTAATTTAATAGCATCTACTGGATACTTTTTTTTTCTTTTTCTTCCCTTCCTCTCCTGTTAGACTGTATGGGGTGTTTTCTGGGCCAACAGGGAGGGCGAGAGAATTATGCTAGAGTTTATCAGGTAGCCATGTAACTTAATTTTACACATGCATTAGCCCGCTTGGTCATCTTACCTTCCTATACATATGTTTACTGGGTACAGCCTATTATTTCTACATTAGTATCAGTCAAAAATTTCGTTCATAATATTCTTAAACAATACTAAAAATCTTAGTTTCATTATATAATCATTTGTAATGAAAAAAAAAACAAAAGATAACTACAATCCTAATTTTTAGGGACAATTCATGGACATCCTTAGTTTCAATCGATACAATGCTTGGTATCAAGATCCAGGAAAAACTGAAGTGATACAATTGAAACTCAAAGCAGAAGCTGAACGGTGGCACTCGAAGCACAATAAGCCAGTTCTTGTTACAGAATATGGTGCAGATACAATGCCAGGACTTCATCTGGTAAAGTTTTTTTGTGAATAAAGAAAAAGAATGATTAATCAACTAATTTACTTACATATCTATAGTTACATTCTTGTATGTTCATTTGATGTTATGTTAGAAAATAAGGCCTCACTTGCCTTGGAAATGGTAGTCTATTGCTCCAATGAAGACAGACCTTTCAAATACAAATCCCTCTAAATTTTACTTAAATTTAAGTACTCACTGCCTTCTTCGCCTTCCATATTGCCACTCCATTTCCCAATTATATTTATTCATTTTTAATGGAATCACTATTAAGCCAATGCTAGAACTTTTCTTTCTCACTTGTGCTCTGAGCTTAGTGTGCGTTCTGGATAATCCATATCAGTATTCTAATTCTCCTCCTTAACCATCTTTGGCCCAGAAGGTGTTATGGGACTGACTTTTGCCCAAGAGGACTGACTATTACTGCCTTACTAATACTTCAAAGTATTACTTGAGTAACAGAAGAAAACATCTTCCAATAAGTTGGACATACTTACACTAAGTTGCATGCATATATTCATAATCGGAGCTTATCCTTCATAAAAACTTAAAAGCAAATTTAATTTGAGATGATACAACCTTCTGGTCTGCAATCTCCTTTACCTGATCTGACAAAGACTTGCTTTAGCCTATGAGCGTCTAGGCCCGAAAAAATTAAACAAAAATAAATCAGTTTAGTGTATCATTATCATCTAAATGTTTTAAAACATTTTATTTTTAGATGCCAGAGTACATATGGTCTGAAGAGTACCAAGTAGAATTGCTTTCAGAACATTTTAAAGCATTTGACACTCTTAGGAATAAAAATAATAGTTTCTTCATTGGTGAGATGATTTGGAACTTCGCAGACTTCAAGACTGATCAAGGTAAATCAAAGCAATTTATTAAAATTGTGTTATAATGTTAACATGGCTAATTATTTTATTTCAGAGGGAACATTAGATGAAAAACAAAACAGTTATGAATAAAAATAGTATTTTATTAAACTGTCAACTGTTTTCAGTCGATCAAAGTAATCTCCGTTTCTAAAATTAAAAATTAAAACTTACTTTAAAAAATATAAACAATAATTTCCGGTGTGTCCATCACATGAATTTTCTTACCACTTTGGGTAGGTTGTTTTTTAAGTTACAATCATGGGATATATTTTTTTTCCTTCAGGATTGCAAAATGGTTGAGGGATCTAAGTCTGCAAGTTTTATTTGTTATTGCTAATTCAGTAAGTAGGTATTTAAACATTTGGACAATGATTTGCCTCTTCAATCAGAATGAGAAAGCCTGCAACTTTTGAGTTCAGGTTTAGCGAGGTATATACCCCTAACAGTCCTCAATATAAACCAATGATAGTTTCCACTTTTTCCAGGTTTACCCGTAATTTGATATCACAGCATGTTCTTCTTTTGGATAATGTGAGCTACTTGATCTTCTATGAATCTGTTTTTTCTCAATCCTACTTGTTCCAACATTAATATTTTCTTTGATTCCAGGAACCAGATTAGTTTGTCAATCGGTCTGTAGCTATTCACACCTCCTTTTCCGTTTTTTTAACAAGAATTAGGGCAGCCAATTTAAACATTGTGGAAATGTTCCATCTTTAAAACTTTTGTTAAAAAGTTTACGATTTTTCTTGGCTTTGTTCCCAATGTTCATTATTAGCTCATTATTAACTCCATCTGTTCCTAGGACCTATTAAAAACCAGATAATTTAACCCAATTACGATATTTTCCTAACTTAGTAAGCCACCTATGGTGATGGTAATAATGTATTTTCTATTTATCAATTTTAAAATTTGTTACTAGCAGAAAAATATACATTATATTCTGATACTTCTCAAATTTTAAAGCTAAAAGGTAACAGTAATAGAATAAAAACATTTGTTGGTTAACAATAACCAGTATCAAGGAGTTCACCATTAACTAGCATCTATACATTTTGGCTAAATATTTAAAAATCACAGAACATTAATTAAAAATCCTTTCTTGTTAATCCCTTGATTGGGCATAGTATTTCTGAAATACCATTAGACCATGATATTTATGTAAAATAGAGCATTTATTACTAAAAGGAAAATATTCTGTTTTACTAAATTATATACATTTTTTTTGTATAGCTACTACTCGTGTTGGAGGTAATTTAAAAGGCGTCTTCACAAGAAACAGGCAACCCAAAGCAGCAGCTATACATCTGAGGAAGAGATACCTACATCTTGCCCATGAGTTAGATAACTTCGATTTACCTGACGACTTGGACAAATACACAGCCCCTGTTATGTCCCATCAATCAAATCATGTTGAACTTTAAATTTAAAAAAAAAAATTTAATAACTTTCTTTGGAAGAGCCATATGTGTATCCTAGCTAAAAGAAAAACTTAGTGAGTCCCCTTGGGGCACAACCTGAAAATAATTTTATTTCTTATCAATAAAGTTACGTGTTATTAATGTGATCAGTCAGTTATTAATCCTTTTTTTAAATTAGGTTACAAATAATACAATATTGAAAACTTGTGAAAAACGCATATGACAATAAAGATAAAAATTGTCTTCTATCTATCATAACCCACAAATAGATAAAACTGCTTTAGATTTTAATAATAAGTTGGGAAATAAAAAAATAAAAATATAACATTATATTTTTAATTAGTAAAGCCTGGATGAACAATATAAATTTAGAAATTTTATGGCACCAGCAACTTGGGCTATTTTTGATACAAACAATATTAAAATTAGTGGCTTTGGAAAAAATACAAATACAGTTTCTTAAAAACTAATAAGCGATATATTTCTTTTAAGGCATTATTTATATGAGCACCTATAAGTTACTAAAAGGCCACAGTAAACTCTGTACTATAATTCATTTACTGCATCATAAAAATCTAAAAATATTTCACTGAAGAAATGTCTTTTATATCTATACAAAAGAAAAAAAAATCATAAAAATACAATATTTACATAACAGCATTAACATATTTTTTTACAAAAAATATTAACAATATCTTGGTTTAAAAACCATGATTATTTCATTCAATTAATGAAAAATGTAGACAATGTATATGTTAAAACATATTTTTTTAAAGCAAATAAATCCTGAAAAATAATTACATTAACCTGAAATACCAAGAGTCATTACATTACATTAAATTTAATTTTTGATAAATAAAATTTAATTGCTCTTCTAATGTTTCATAATATAATGAGCTTAACTAAAATGAAATATCATTTATTTTATCACATAACTAAGCTTATATCACCAATTTATAGGCTATATAAATTAATAGCATATGAACTGTATTATATCTAGGCTGAAGTGGATAGTCTAATTTTGTTATATAAGACTGGTGAAAATTAATAAAGTATTGACTCATAAAATATTTCCATAAATGTAAGAAAATAAACTTTCTGTCAATATGCAAAAAATAACAATGAAACACAAAATATCACTGTCATAAATTATAGATATATATATTCATTAATTCAAGTAAATCAAACTAATAAAAAAAAATAGTAAGACTCCTTATTATACACATGGATAATTATTTGGATTTTAACAAAATTTGTTGAAAATAGCTTCTATGATTATCAAATGCATTATAGTTCTGATATAAAATCTTTACAGCATAAAGTGTAGGAAATGGAACAGTTAAAAAGTTGTATACAAAAGTACATTTATTAAATATAAAAATCATTGCTCAGTATTGAGTTAAGCTATATTTTCAATTATCCTAAAATCACAAAAAAATGTATTAATAACCATAACTTAAGAGGCAAATATAGAATCCTTAATCAGTTGACCGATGACGATATTTTAACATTGATATATAAAAACAGATCAAAAATGATAGTTGTGACATCAAGAGAAATCAAAGTAACATAATATAACAGGCTAGAGGTTAAACGTACAAAAGATTTATTATGTTGTTTATTAAGATTAACTATATAAATATATTGATAAAATTAAGTTAATAAAATATAACAAAATAGGAAGAGTTTGGTTTTACAAATAAAATTTAAATAAACAAGTTCATGTTGTAGAAGTAAATACTAATATAATTTTTTAAAATATAAAATATATTTGATAACACAAGATCTCATCGGACCCATCTGAATTCATTAGGAATAATGGCTGTCTGAATATTGAAAGTGAGCTGCCAATTTCCTCAATCTGATACTTTAGCTGATTCTATATCCATCTATTTGCACTAAATGAAATTAAAATGAATCATATTTATTAACCCATTGTATGAAAACCTATAACAACCACTTTATTATTTTTTTTTTTAAATCATAAAAAAAAATTTTCTTACGTCAAAGAAAGGTAATTCGTTCATCCTGTACAGATACTTAATTTGCAGATTAAGTTTATATTGAGATATTGTCAGCTCACTATTTATTAAATTTATTACGTACCATTTTTTAAGTTTTACTATTTTCACAGATTTTCTGTTTTACTTAATTGATAAATTTTATAATAAATAATTTCTACATTTTATGTTTTTTTTTTAAATATTAAACACAACAAATTAAGTACTAAACATAATCTAAAAAAATACTACATACCTATATGCAACGCCATTATATTTGGTTCTTTTGTACAATTTATAATTTATTTAAATCTTTACAAAGTAATAATAAAATAAGCTAGCATCAACCATTTGTATGCATATGCAGTTTTAAATATATATATATATATATATATTTAAAACTTATTAAAATTAAATTTTAGCTTAATCAAGGCACATAAATTTCACTAGCAAATTGAAGGCAAAAAAAGCAGCATTGTAATTGCAAAATATCTTCAATTAATCACCATTGTATGAAAGACATTTGTCAAAATGAATTACATTCTGGAATGTAGAGAGCACATTACACAATAGGGCAGTCTGTGTCTGAATGGGGAATTAATAATAATGGTAACTACAACCTTTTAAAAAAAAAAAATTCCAATTATAATCATTCCAAGCCTAAATTATACATTATTTAAAACTTTGGAATTGTAACAACATTCGGACAAGTGGAAAATTTATTTTAACTTTTCAAGTATAAAAATCATGCAAATAAGTGAGAAAATTCTTGAATAGCTAATTAAATAATTCATTTCTGATGTATGTTAAGTAAAAAAAAAAAATGTATAACATAAAACAACTTTAATTTAAGCATCCTTTTTTTGACTGGTCCAAGCCAATTAATGAAAGATAATTACTTGGTTTTAGGAGCTGTTTCACATTCCATATTAATTTTTTTAAATATCAGGTAAATTAATTATAGAATTTAATTGAAAAAAATATGCCCTCTTCGATAGAGATACTGTAAATTGAGCATTTTCTTGAATTAAGGTTGGTTTTTTTCATGATATTTTGATCAGGTGGGAATCGAAAATAGAATAAATGATTAGTTTAATAAATAAGTAAAATAAAATGGTAAAATAATGTTGCATAATCCAGAAGCTATAAATATTCTCCAAAGTAGATATAACATTTTTTTTAATTTACCGAAATTCATCAGACTCAGTTTTGTTAATAAATTAATAATTAATATGAATCAGTTTATTCAATTTGAAAAGAAAACTAAATTATGAAATCTACAGGTTTTAACTTAGAGTTATGTACAATTGAAATAACAAAAAATAATCACTATTTCATGAATATCATCTGGAGATGACGAGAAAAAAAAAATCAATAGTATAATTATGACACAAAAATGGGAGCAAAAACAGGAGACATTTCACAATCTGATTTTCTAAGCTACAATAAGCACCTTTTTAAAAATATAAAGCCAGCACAGCCTTGTTTACTAAATGCTCCAACAAAAACTATTACATTTATACAATACAAGCATAGCACAATACAAATCTGCAAAGCAGAAATAAAACAATAAGAAATTTAAACGTTTTTCTTTCATTTTACCAATAATACATGAGGACTATATAAATCTCTCAAAAGCCTTTTATATACAAACTACCATAGAACAGATAATCATAATATTTTATCAAATCTTTTAATAAGATCAGCAACAGTAAGTGTCCTCACAACAATAATTCATTAATATTTCTTTATTTGCTTCTAAATTAAAATTTAACAATATAGATGAAAGATAAACAATTTGAACTAATTTCAGAGAAATAATATAAAAATTGTGTTATTTGAAAAAACAAGTAATTAACATTTGTGAGTAAAACTTAAATCAACTTTGGTCTATAAAATGTTATTTTCGAAAAATCTGGTCAAGAGAACAGTCATAAATGTCTTCTTTTATTTGCAATTTCATCAATATAAAAGTTAATAACATAAATGTAGCTGTAATATGTAGCTGAATATTTTATATTAATATTCTTAAGCAAAGGTTTAATGGCCTAATTTTAAATGTATAGGAAAGAATAAATAATTAGGCTACATTTCTTTAAGAACTGTATAAAGTTATAAAATGTTTATCAAATATTGATAAAAAATGTTAAGAGACCATTGATAACAAATCTTTTTAAAATGTTTACATTAAATGCCCCCAAAAAGACCAGAATAAATTAAAGTGATAAATACTCATCGATGAATTAATTATAGAATTACTGAGCTTTCACAGCGAAGCTGGGTGGAAGCAAGTAGATAATGCCATTGTTGGCAGAGTCCTTTTTGAAAGAAGCGAGCTGCTGATCTTGACTTACCTCAACCCTTAGCGGCCGGCTCTTGTTTCCTAACATGCAGTCGAACCTGCTGGCAACGTTTACTCTCAAATCCACTCCTCTCAACCTAAACAATAAAGTGCTATGATATCTCTATTGATCCATATGAAAACCCACATTTTCCAATCAATTCCACCACCGTAATTGTTGCAATTTCGAGAAAAGCTGCTAAATTGTTTTGCCCCATTTTTCTAAAAATATCTTATTAATGGTCAGACAAAAAATATATTTATCGTTTTTTTTTTACTATTTCAAACAACATAATTTTTGGAACCAATACAAAACTTGTGGCTATATTAGATCCCGAGACAGACCTCTTTGAATCATAATATTTTTTACAAAAAATATGAAAAGTTCAGTATCAACTAAATAATGAATCGTACAACAAACTTTTGAAATAAAGATAAATAATTGAAGTTTATGTTTAAACTGATTTCACCAGGTCGTATAGTCCCGACTGCAATACTTTCCTTACCTAGTATAGGTAGGAAAGTAATAAGTTAAAATATGTGTAAAAAATAGAATAAGCTGTATCATCACTAATACTGGTTCGATTCCGATGATTTTTTTTTTTTGTTTTGTTGGTAATTTAATTAATTTTCAAAAGTTTTATTATAAATTTTATCGTATAATATATACTTGGGGAGTTAGGTCCTATGACATTTTTATTTTCTTTATAACTTTTTCCCCTGAATTTTCTTGGGAATTTATTCCATACACAAAAATTTAAAGGACAATTATAAGAACATTATAGGAAAGTTTCATCAAAATCGTTAGAGCCATTTTCGCGCTATATTCTATAGAAAAACATGTTTTTCGTTTATTGTGCACAAGCTATTGGGCATGGAGCACCGAATTTTGAAGTCACAGGCATCAGTAGTCAAAACCCTACAAAATAAAAAAAGAAGAACAAAATCAGTTCAGTAGTTTACGAGAAAATCTTGGCACAGACAGACCAATGGCTAAAAATGTGTTTTTTGGACTCAGGGGGCTCTGAGACGTATAGATCCGTCGAAAACCACATATCGGAAATTTGACCTGATTGCAATACTTTCCTTACCTAGTATTAGAGATGGGCAAAATTGTACTCTGAGTAAAAAGTACAATTACAGAGTAATTTACTCAAATACTCGCCCGGTTCGAGTATCGAGTACTTCAATCACTACTCGACCTCATGATTGACGAGTACAAAAAGTAATCAGCTGTCCTCGTGAGTACTTTCTATTATCAAATCTACTCGGGAATATTTTACTCAGAGTACTTTTCAAAGTAATCGAGTATTTCATTATAAAAATTACAGGAGTAGAATATTTAATATTTCTTCCATGTTTAAGTTCATTGTTATCTTATGGGGGTATAGTTTTTTAAATATTAATGTAAATCAATAAAATAAAGAATTATTAAAACCACTTGACTTTTACGATAATGCTGTCGGATTCGAGATAGTGCCCCCGGGCCCCGACTTTTTTTAAGTTTCTGGATTAAATTGATATCAGGGTCGACTATTAGGTTTTGGGGGATGCTTTTTATGAAAATGATATCGAATTTGAGATTGGGGCCCCCGGGTCCCGACTATTTTTAACTTTTTCAATTAAATCGATATCAGGGTCGACTATTATGTTTTGGGGGGCGCTTTTTATGAAAATGATATCAAATTTGGGATTGGGCCCCCGGGCCTCGACTTTTTTTATCTTTTTGGATTAAATTGATATCAGGGTCGACTATTAGGTTTTGGGGGATGCTTTTTATGAAAATGATATCGAATTTGAGATTGGGCCCCCCGGGTCCCGACTATTTTTAACTTTTTCAATTAAATCGATATCAGGGTCGACTATAATGTTTTGGGGGCGCTTTTTATGAAAATGATATCGAATTTGGGATTGGGCCCCCCGGGTCTCGATTATTTTTAACTTTTTCAGTTAAATCGATATCAGGGTCGACTATAATGTTTTGGGGGCGCTTTTATGAAAATGATATCGAATTTGGGATTGGGCCCCCCGGGTCTCGACTTTTTTTAACTTTTTCAATTAAATCGATATCAGGGTCGACTATTATGTTTTGGGGGGCGCTTTTTATGAAAATGATATCGAATTTGGGATTGGACCCCCGGGCCTCGACTTTTTTTAACTTTTTGGATTAAATCGATATCAGGGTCGACTATTAGGTTTTGGGGGACGCTTTTTATGAAAATGATATCGAATTTGGGATTGGGCCCCCGGGCCTCGACTTTTTTTATCTTTTTGATTAAATTGATATCAGGGTCGACTAATAGGTTTTGGGGGACGCTATTTATGAAAATGATATCGAATTTGGGATTGGGCCCCCGGGTCTCGACTTTTTTAACTTTTTCAATTAAATCGATATCAGGGTCGACTAAAATGTTTTGGGGGGCGCTTTTTATGAAAATGATATCGAATTTGGGATTGGCCCCGGGTTAAAAAAAGTCGGGGCCCGAGGGGGCCCAATCTCAAATTCGATATCATTTTCATAAAAAGCGCCCCCCCAAAACATAATAGTCGACCCTGATATCGATTTAATTCAAAAAGTTATAATGTCGGGGCCCGGGGGGCCCAATCTCAAATTCGATAACATCTTCATAAAAAGCGCCCCCCAAAACATAACAGTCGACCCTGATATCGATTTAATTCAAAAAGTTAAAAAAAGTCAAGGCCCGGTGGGCTCAATCTCAAATTCGATAACATTTTCATAAAAAGCGCCCCCCAAAACATAAGAGTCGACCCTGATATCAATTTAATTCAAAAAGTTAAAAAAAGTCTGGGGGCCCAATCTCAAATTCGATATCATTTTCATAAATAGCGTCCCCCCAAAACATAATAGTCGACCCTGATATCGATTTAATCGGAAAAGTTATGAAAATTCGATGCCCGGGGGCACTATCTAAAATCCGACAGTATATTTTTATAAAAAAGGCCCCCCAAAACATGATGGTTAGTCTAATATCGATTAATGGGGGCTCGGGGTTGGTCAGGTCGAATATGGCCGCTATTATTGAAGGAAATAAAAGAAAACATTTTTACTCTTTATAATAATGACGGAGTAGTTGAAAAATAAAAAGTTCTCTTTGTAGGAATTGGGCTGAGTACTTTCTGTAATTCGATATAACAGCGCGAATATTTTCTGTACTTAACTAAATCATGATTGACGCTGCGTGAGTACTCTCAGTACTGGCCGATGTCAGGCCGAGTACAGAAACTACTAGATACTTTTTCCTAATAAAATTACTCAAATCATGAAAGTAATCGAGTACTGCCCATCTCTACCTAGTATAGGTAGGAAAGTAAAAATTACATATATGAAAATCCATTTCAAAATCCAGTTGGTTAGGGATGTAATGAATCTTACAACAAAGTTTGACATAATAACTGTTGTAGTAGAGGTAAAGGAAGGAAGCAAAGGCTTGCTAAAAGTACTCACAAAACTGCTTTTGATATTGGTACCTATATCATTATTAGAATTTACAGAATCAACCAAGATATTTAAAATAGTCAACTTTTTTATATGAATACGCTCTAAATTCAACCAGTTCTCCTGATTGAATTATTTTAAAAAATAATATTTTAACAAACACACTTAATCGATTTCTAAATTTAAGTATAGTTACCATAAAATTTAACTTCTTGATTGATTCAATAAATGATATTACACATTCTAAAATCTCATAAAAATCAATCAATAAACAAGAAAATATGTTACCTGTGGTAATTACTGGCAAGCGCACCAACTAACTCACCAACACGATCGTCATTGCTCTTCAATGTCAGAACAAAGTCATTACCCTTGTTTGTGTGGATAACAACCAGCTGGTCATGGCCAGGGCTCACACTAACTCCAGTTATCTGAAAATTGATTCATTATATCATATTTTATTTTATCTGATAGACAATTTTAAAAAATTGACAACAAAAATGATCAGAAAATCAGAAGATAATATTATTTAAATACAATAAATAAAAATTAAATATTTTCTGCCTTGATCACAACTACGAGGTTAATATTGGAGGCAGCTGGTAGCACAATATAAAACAGATAACAAAAATCAAAAGAACATTAATGAAACAATGATTAAGGAAAAAGGAAACATGTAAGAAATCTATTAAGAAGTAATTAATGTTTTACATAGAAAAATTTAGTTAATATAGATAAGAGAACAGAAACCACTGAGAAGGAGAAAGAAAAAATTTAACTGTAACTTTATTTTTAAGCACTACAATAAATTTAGAACTTTTTATCAGAGCAGAATGTTATTGAAACATTTTATATAATGTTCCCTACCTCTTGTATTGGGATGCCGCTCCTCATAGGTTTAAATTTAGTTATTTCCAATTTGTATATAGCATGTTCAGTAACAAGTATACCTCTATCAGCACACTTGTTGAACCTATTGGTTTTGATAATGAATGATGAAAATAAAACCTGAAAACATGAAATTTAAATATCAATAAGAGGACAAAACTCATAATAGCTGGCTGATATATAAAAATAAATAAAACATGTTGATTAGATCAAAATATATCTTTAGTATAAATCAGATAAGTTGATACCTTTAAACAAATAAATTACCTTAATTACATTAAACATCGAAAACATTTAAGTGTAATTTAAATTTGGGATATATAAAGATCTTATAGCTGTCTTTATGATTATTTTTTATTTACGTATTTTTATTTTCAATAGAAAGTTATTAAAATTTTCTATTGACAACTGATTCTGAAGTGTTAAATCAATTAACAATGTATTAATCCTCAAGTTTTGACTTAACAGATATAATTATTATTTTAATGATTCCATACTTGTTTAATTAATTTTAAAAAAAATAAATTCTCTACCTGCTTGAAATGGTTTGAAGCTTTGAGGGCACGCAAGGAAGCCTCATAAACCGCAACATTGGGGTTCTCTGAAGGAAGAGCGAGGTAGTTCCCCTCCCACTTGCGACCTTGACCCCAGCTACGGCGCTTCCCTTGGAGGCAACTGGCAGCACATACCTGTCACCACAAGATTAAAGTACATTTCGAAGTTTTCAATTTAAAAAGAATGAATAACAGTTCAACTCAAAAATTACTGTTGAGCAACACTGCATGACAATAAAATGACTAAATTTTATAAAAAAATTTCTAATTATTCGGTCTTAGTACCGTAATTTTAAGTCATTCAAATTATAAGTACAGAGGATATCAGCTGTTACCTTGATCTTAAGTTGTGGCCATTCAGAGCGAGGGAAAGGCTTCAGTATCATCCTCGCCCGCCATCTATTAAATAACGTCTTAAGCCCCGGAAGAGCTTGCCTTGTGAATATACTAGGCTCTGGCCATGGTATATTTTTTCCATAATCGTGCATCCTCTTTGCAGGCCTACATTGTCATATTATTAATCAATTAACAAATAAATTTGTAAAATTCGTATCTAAACCATAAAATGAAATTAATATAGTTTATTTAACTTGTTTAACTACCTCATTGCAATGGCCAATTGATTAACATATTGCCTAGTCTTTTGTTTCCTGTAAAATGCCATAATCTTAAGGGCTGCTTTCATCTTGCGGTATTTCATTCTGCATATAGCTCCGCGCCATTGCTTTTGTAAGAGAATTACAATCCCTGGAATCAACTCAGCTCTCATCTAAAAAAATATAAAACACTTTAAAATTATTTTCCTCGTGATATCCAACAGTAGTCAAAAATACAAACTATCAAAAAATGAAAAAAAAACCAACTAAATTTCCCCTTTTAAAAAAAATTTAAATTAAATTTTTTAAAATAAATTATAATTAAATAAAAAATCTAATATACCCAATATTAAAAATATTACCTTTTCTAATTTAAAGAGGGTAGCTGGTGACTTAATAAATAACTTGGTCCTTCCATATTTGACATCATGTGCAAAACCCTTCTCTTCGATCAATACTTTAACACCATCCTTAACAGAGCCTGAATTAAAGTTGGGCCAGGTAAACTCAGAAATCATCTTGTATCTTTAATCACAAACAACAATAATAATCAGAGAATGGTCCCATTAAAAATTTAAAACTGGACATCAATGAAAGGCTAGGTGCCAAAGCAAAATAATTTAGTTAGATTACAAAAAATTATTAAATTTCATTGCTACACCATAAAATGAGGGTTAAATAGCACAATCATTAATTCTGATAGTTCCTGTTAATGAATTTGGAATTTAGCTTGCTTTTTAGGTTATCGAAATTAACAATTAGTTTGATTTTCCGAATCTGACTCAATTAATTTGTTTGGCACATAAGCTGCTATAGATGTCAGTCTTTAATTGTTTATAAACTGGAGTACTGAACACCAATAATGTTAAAATATATGTTAACAGTTTTATCACTTCATAAAGTAATGATTTTCATGTTGTAATTGAAAAGTTAACAGAGGATAATTATAAAAAAATATATTAAATAATAAAAGTGTGAGTCAAATTCTAAAAAAAAATTTTATTTAAAAATTAGGATTCCAAAAATTACCTTTTCAAAAATAGATCATATCTGTGCCTATGAGCAAATCCAGCTCTCCTTACTCTAACATTCTCAAGAAGACCCAAGTATCTGACCTAAAATAAATAATATAATAATCATATCGTATATCTATTTTTTAAAAATTAAAAGTCAGTAAAACATGCTGTAATGAGATAAGTAAATCTATGGAGGAATAGCTTCTCTTTTAGTCAAGAGACGCTAATCAGGAGAAAATGCTTTCCATAGCTATGCTATTCATTGGTTCACTCCCAGAATGTTTTGAATATTACAAATGAAGATATTTGGGTAGTTTCATAAGTAGTTCATTATACTTTATTTTGTATTAATTCATCTTTGTTATTCTAAGGGGACTTAGTCCCAGAATAAAGTTCTATTTTCTATTCTATTCTATTCTATTCTATATATAGTGCCGAGTTCTGCCATAAATACTGTTGCAAAAGTTGAACTTTGTTTACATCCTTGGATATTATTTAGATAATCCTTACCTCTATCGGATTATTTTCTTTACATGTCAGGATAATAATCTCAAATAGTTTGTATTTTTCTTTCATCCAGTCAACATGGAGTGGGGTGATAAAGAAAACCGAATAGCTGTGATCACCTTACATAAAGTTGGAAAATGTAGGTCAGAGATTTTTAAACTTTTAAACCTTTGGGTATCAGCCGTATCTTCATGTACCGCACCCTATCTGTATATGACAGACCTCGACCATGTCCGTTCGGAGAACGGCAAATGCAGTGAGAGCAGCGGCTGCTTAAATCAGAAGAAATTTCATTCGAAAACAACAAATTATGTCTCGGGAAATGGGAATCTTTGTCAGATCAACGTCTCGCATAGTAAAAAGTGACCTTAGGATGGGTGCAATTTGAAGAATGACAGGACAAAGGCTAACCAATTCCCTAAAAAAAATTAAAGTGGATAGATGCAAAGTGCTCCTTGGCCGTTAGACCAATGGTCTTCATCGAAAGATTATTTTTAGTGATGAGAAAATTTGTACAATTGAAGAAAAATTTAATTTCCAAAATGATTGTGTATACACACACAGCTCTAAAGAAGCCCAGGAAGTCATTGGAAGAGTGGAAAGAGGTCACTACCCTTCCTCAGTGATGGTTTGGTGGGGAGTTTCCTTTTATGGCACCACAAAGCTCCACTTTTGTGAAAAAAGAGTTAAAACATCCGCTAAAAACTATCAGGATGATATTTTGGAACCTGTTTTCAAGCCTCTAAATGATACTCTGTTTGCTGGAAGTCACTGGGTTTTCTAGCAGGATTTCATTCCAGCTCACAAGGTCAGGTCAACTCAGCAGTGGCAGAAAAATTTAATTTTTCTTTTGAAATTTGTATATTCAAAGTAATTCCTCATATTTCTTTGTAACAATATTTATGAAAGGACTTGGTAGAAGAGAAAATTTTAACCTTGTAAAATATTTATAACATTACTTAAAAAATATCATCAATATCAGATTAAAGACAAAAAAAATCTGGTGCTCGCAAAACACAACTTTCACTTACCGATTTACTTTGAATAGAAATTATTTTCTGGCAATGTTGGACTATTATAAAAATTTTTGAAGTGCATTTTAAACGGAGCTAAAGCTTAAAGCTTACAGATAACAAGTAATTAAGACCATTATAATTACAAAATGTCTATTTAATATATCGACGACAGGCAATAAAAATCCAGTCACTCCATCTGCTTTTATAAACCACATAACTTTCTTTGCTTTTATAAACCACAGAATGACTAACTCCAATTTCAATATTTTGGAGTGATGTCATTTTAGTGATATTTTTAGTTGAAAAAGTTATCTATGCAGACAATGAGTAAGTTGATTCCGGAGGTGGTGATTGCAGTGTTGAAATATAGAATTGAGAATAAAGGTATAAATTTAGGTACTTATTTCTTATGAAAGATGTTCTTAGGAAAGATACTTTATTAAATATCTGTAGAAAAAAGAGGTTTTTTTAGTCTCAACAATTAAAAAAGTATATTTAAAATTTATCCAAATTTTCTCCTCTTCAGGAAAAAAAACTAGAGGCCATATCCTCCTAATTACCCTTTTTTTTTTTTTGTTTTTTTAGGAAATTCCATAAACTTTTAAAAAACTGTATACCATATCAACAAAAAAGCAGCGTATACTTTTTAAGTTATTTGGAATTTAATTTTACCATCCCTCGTAACTTTTTTTCCAGCTTCTATGCTTTGAAGTATGTTATATAGATAAATTTAAAGGGTGTCGAGAAAATTACTTTAGCGAAGTTTCATTGAAACCGATACATTCGTTTAGGGGCTACCGTCTATAGCATCACAGATTGTTCTCCATTTTTTCTCCTTTATTAACTTATCAAAAGTTATATGTAGCATTTTTTTATATCTCTAAATAATGCAAAATGATTAACTTTTTAAAATAAACCATATTAAAGGTACTTTAGAGGAAGACATATATGAACATTGAGCATTTAAGCCCTGTAAAGTGAAATCAACGGGAATAAGACTTAAATGATGTTAAAGACCACTTAATTATACAATGATACACCGAGCTTAATCAAAATCGTTAGAGCCGTTTTTGAGAAAATTGTAAAAATGTGTTTCAGCGTTCATATAAAGAGGCACTTTCCGTTAGCCGATTTTAACAAAAAAGTTGCTGTCACATCCAGCCCATATACAAATCTTAAATACTTAATATCAGTTTCGTACTACTTTTCGTTTATGAGGTAGACTGTTAACACACACAAACAGACCATTTTGCGACACTTGGTTATTTGGACTCAGGAGACCTCAAAACATGTATTTACGTTGAAAACTGAGATTCGAAAGTTTTCACGATCGCAATACTTACCCTTACTATATATTACATATATACGTAAGTGAAAATAACAATAAAAGTCACATTCATGAAGTTATAATGTAAAAGAAAGAAAATTAAGGACCAAGTTTAACCATAAAAAAAAATTATTATTATTGATTATCTCAATGCCATTGACACAAACTTTAAAATTTATAAAAAATAATAAAACGAGTTAGAAAAAAGGAATATAAATTAAATTATATTAAAATATAAGACATTACCTGATGACGAATTTGGTCAACATTTACTTGTAAAGGAGTCTTGAATTCATTTGGTTTGATGCATCTAAAATTAAGAAATGTATTTATGAGAAAAATCCAGAAAATAATTATTAAATTTAATGTAACATAGATAATTAATAAGAATGGTAACACTAGACAATACCAGCTAATGAACTGAAACATGCAGTTAATCAGTGGTGCTGGTTGCTTGTTAATGTACTTTATTAAAATTAAATTACACATCCAAAATTCATACAAAAAAACAGTAAATTTGTACAATATATATTTGTCAGACCTATACTGGCACATACATTTGGTGTTTTACAGTTCTGCAATATCATATATATGTTATGGAATTGGCATTAATTATATTTTTAAGGATAAATGGAACTTAGAATAAAAAGTCAATATGTTCTTACCTTACATAAAAAGGTTCCTTCTTGGCTAGGGTTTTAACCAGAGCGATCATTGAATTCTTGAACAATGTACCAGCTGTCAGTGGCCTTTTAGTTGTCTGAAAGATATATCATGAGGATATTAAGTTCCAAAAACCAATAATAATGATTTTTAAATCTTGAAAACATTGCTTATGATTAAAACAATAATATGATTTTTTTTACTAATATAACTTTATAGCTATTAATACAACTGAAAATGGTGTTTTAAATAATAATTATTTTTTAATAATTACCATATAATGCAATAAAAAATTACAGTGAGTACACAGTGAGTCAGTTACTAACAGCTGTTTTAGACCACAGGCTTTGTATGGATCAGCTACATAATGTATTTCTTGAGGAACTGAATATACCATTGGAGATTGGATATATTAAAGCTAAAACCAACCTTGGTAATATCCATCGCTCCTTCCGGCCACATAGATGAAATTATAGGATTGTTCGACGCATACAGTAGGCGCTTCATATCTTGGAACAGCGTGTCCTTGTTTTTGTCCAAGAATCCATTGATGTTGTAAACTACATCACCAGCATAATGCCTAAACAAATATAAAGATATTCATACAATCACGAATATATTTTCACAAACTATTTACTCATATGAATTTTTTTTTTAAATATTAACTTTATTAAGTCACGTAGTAGTCAAACTTGTTTGGTATCCTACAGTTTGAATTACTGAAACAGAACATTGAACACAGTTAATTATGAATTTAAACTATACCTTATTCTAAACTGGGTCTTGTGAGCCAATTCCTTGTCGGTTGGCTTGAGTTGCCTACTACTGTAATGTTCATGTTTGTCTAACTTCTTGTCCATAGCCTCCAGCAACATCTGTGATATTTACAAATATAGTGTATGATATATCAATATAAGAATAAGAATAATAGACTATAAAATATCAAACAATACCTCATCATCAACTTTTCCAACATTGAGACAAGCCTCATCCATTATAGCGATAACACCCGCATGAGGACGTTCGACCAGTTCACAGATGATCTCATTGTTGAAATACGAAATATTCTGCCATTCGATCCCTTCTCTCTGATACTCCTCTTGTTCCTGCTTCAGCACGAGCTCTAAGAAAAAAAATGTTGATTCCTAAAACCCAAATTCACTTCACCAAAAATCGTTCAGCTCTAGCTGACAACCTAAGCAATTTTTAGCAATGTCAAAGCAACCTAATCTGCCGCCTTTCATTCATAGATTAATTTAATATGACAAATTAATAGTATTTTATTTTTATACCATAGCTAAAGGTAATTATAATAAAAACAATATTGTTGAATAAAAGTAAAAACTACAGATTGGTGCGACATAAACTAATTGATGTAACTTATGTTTTTAAAATATTGTTTTATATCAATACGTGTATTTGGGAGTGTGTTTTTTTTTTTTTTAATCTTATTTATTGAAAAATATTAAAATCTGTCTCAAGGACATAAGGGAGTCTGTTTAAAAATAATTTTTAACTATAGGTATAAATTCAAAATTTAACAGAAGTAAATAAAAATGTTTTTTTTCAGAGATTTTACAACGAGAAAATAGTAAAATAAACTTACAACAAATGAATACTTAATATCAAACCTTCTGAGATGCAAAAACAACAAAGTAGAATTATTATATTTTATTTATTTATTTTAAGCCTGAAAAATGCTTGCTTGAGCAACTATGCACAACCTTGTAGCTCAATATAACTTAGCTCTCTAAGCCATTAGATTGTCATAATCAATGAAAGCACATTTCGTGTCTTAACAGATGCTGTCTTGGGATTAATTTCAGTTTGCTTCTATGAAAACTCATTCAAATTTTGTTATTTTTCGGTAATAATTTTATGAAGTGAGGAATCTAAGGGTAAGTAAAATATAAATGTGTGTGTGGATTTTCAGGATTGTTTCATAATTGAAGATTTTTTATTTGGTTTTTATAGAAAATAAATGAGTTTTGAGAATATAGTTTTTGAAATGAACTATCACATATGGGAAGTATTAATAATTAAGAATAAAAAAAAAGCCAAGACAGATTGTTTCAACACTTCTACTGTTGAGCAACTTATGAAAATATAAATAACCATATAAAGTATGATAACATAAATAATATATGCAATACCAATAAATAGCTGTTGTAATTTTTCATTACAGTAGTTGATGCAGAGCTGTTCAAAGGAGTTGGAATCGAACACTTCAAAACCGTAAATATCGAGTACTCCAATCACAGTTGCTCTCGAATCACTTCCCCAAGCTTCAATGGCAGAATTCACTTTTTTCACAATCCATGTAAACATCCGATCATAAATTGCCTTAAACAAAGACAGAAAAAAAAGAGATAAAAATCAATAAATAAAAATAAATTATAAAATTACTAATCGGGTAACTAAAATATTACTAATCAGATAATATTTCCAGATTAAACAGTTTTTGATAATTCCAATGATAAGAAATTCAATTATTCATTTAAACAACACTTTCATTTAAAATTAGAATCAAACTATAATTAATTGTTTTGCACTTAGGTTTCCCAAAATGTTTACCACTTAAAGAGTTCATATAAAATACATTCAGTTATCTAGTTGACACTTTTATAGAGGATAATATAGAATGTGAAAAAAATTTATTATATTCGAGAACATGATTATAATATTTGATTTGAAGTTTTAACATTTAGGAAGACCTTTAAAATTTAATGGTAAATACTTTATTATAGTTTAAGTTATATAATATTTGTTTTTGAAAAATATATACATAAATCATATTTTAAATTTTATGTTTAAGAAGAAGTTAGTCGGGAGTAGGGTAAAAAAATACAAATTAAATTTATACGAATGTAATTTCAACTTTATGCCATATATACCTTGGCAAGAGCATCCCTAGCATACTCTGCCTGTTGTAAAGTGTGAATTTTCTGCATGATCTCTCCCCTCGCAGCGATGACTCGCTCTGTGAGAGCAGTGCTCAGTTCTGCCTCTGAAACGCTAAGTAGTTTGGCAACGCGTGACTGCCCGGTAGCTTTTATATCTTCATCATTAGTATTTTTTTCAAACACCACATTTCCCTGACAGAAACAGAATTAAAATTTATACATATAAACAAGATAATAATTACCTCATAGATAATATTATTTAAAAACGTAGAAATAAACGACCAGAAGCATTTAAACATTAAATAAATCAATTAGATATTCCTAAGATCTTATTTAGAGATCAATATGGTAATAATATAAAAGACAATAGTAGTGAAAATAATAGAATCTTCCAATTCTTTTCCAGGGGGTAAAAATACCGAATGCCACTACCATTTACATTGTTATAATTTGATAAACTATAAATCCACGGCACAGAGCCCTTTTTATCAAAATATTAAGATCCATCTATGACTTCGTGAATGGTTTCATCTTATCATAATATACAACTTTTTTATTAACGAAAATTCTCAGAAGTGGGTGTTTTTTCATTAAATTAATTAATTTAATGAGGTACTAAATATTCATGAATACTCATTTGATTTACAATTGAATTGTAAGACAATTTTATCACAAAATCAAGAAAAAAGATGGCCTACAAAAATATTGGGCCATTTGGCCAAAATAACCTCGCTATTTTGACATGTTGGGAGAGAAGTAAACAGTAGGCCACCTTTTTTCTTAAAATTCAAATGGGTCTTCCTGAGTTTTTAGCCTTTCAATAAATAAACAAAGTTAACCGATCTCTACATTGAAAACACCTAATTTCCGAGAATCTTCGTAAAATAAAAAAGTTGTAAGTTATCATAAGATAGAGCCAATTTAACTAAAATTAACACAAGAGAAGTGTTAATTTGATAAAAGGGGTCTGTACCGTGAACTATAAACAAGTTCTAATTTATATTTAATGGAAAAAAATGCCTAACTAGATATAAATACAACTAAAACCTTTTTCTGCATTGGAATGATTAGTTCAACCAAACCTTCAAATTATTCCTTCCTTTAATCTACAAAAATCAGTAAGTTCTTAAACCAAATTACTTATTACTTAAAATGGTCTAAATTCTGGCTTCTCTAAACGTTGCAGGTTAATATGGTAACCATTAGACTATAAACATCTTACTCATTAACCAATTTTCAATAATGCCGGAGGTATCCTATAGTCTAAGATTTACATATAAAAGAAAATGATCTTGTGACGAACATCTTACTTAGAATAATTAAGTTCTTCCAAAAGATAGGTCTTCTAGATCACACATTATTGTGATTTATAAATACCTAAAGAACTACATTATGATAGTGCAGTCAAATGTTGAACTCAATAATTTTCATTTATTTATTTTTTCTATTAGAAATAAATATCACTTTAAATTAATTTGTAATTGACCAAATTATAACCCATAAAATAGATGGCTTACCAAGTGAAGGACAGCAACAACTATTTTCCAAAGTGTAGAGACTTCGTCCTGAGTAAAACCCAGGGCCTTGCAAGCTCCACAAGTCGCCGCAAACCCTTGCCTGTCCCCGTCCGATAGGTTTTCAGATGAAGATCTCAAATAATTGAAATGGTTATTGTTACCATTTAGATCTAAGCATTTCAAGTCGCTTGAAGACCTCCAACCTGCTAATACCTAGTTCAAAAATTAAGATCTATCAAGGAAAAATATAAATTACAAAATTATCTTTAATAATAAATTAGTGAACAGGATGTGAAAATTAATTAAAGATCCTATTCACACCCTTTCCCGCCCTCCCAATAACATTCATAAAACCAAATTATCCCTCAAATTATAAAAATAGTACATTGTTTAGATTACTTATAAATATATTTATTATAAACAGTTATGTATTTGATGGTCTACAAGGATTTCAGCCCTAAAGCCTCTTCCATTGAATCTGCTAGTGCCCAAGACTGACCTAGACTGCTACTTTAAAAAAACAACACTTATAATTAACACTTATGAGGCGGATTTGGTATGAAGCATACACTATGTTGACATTAAAATACTTAATTATATTTTAATTCCTTTAATAACAACAAGGAGGTAGTAAAAGCCAAATCCGCTGTGTTAGTACGATGAACTGTCAAGTTAATTTTTTTCTTATATAAAAATTATAGGCGGGGAATCTTTTTATCAGTAGAGGCCACATTTAGGTAATGCAGTGATAACGAACTGAAATTTCGATAATTTTAATAACAATTCAATGGTAGGTATTTTTATAACTGAAAAAACGATTATAAAAAGTTCCAATTAAAATGGTAAATTATAAGATGAAGCAAATATAAAACATAAAACAATACCTCATCACCAACAAAAAAATGTAAACTTTCCACAAAGTTCATAGAATGTGTTGAAAAAAGTTGACAATGCAAAAATGATTAGATCAATCTTGTTCTGAAGATTTTAATAGTAAACATTATTTTATTGATTAGAACTAATATTTCACGCTACCTGAGGTAAAATGTAAAGTTAGAAAATTTTCTGTCAAATAGAGGCAGTATAACAATTTTGAGAAATTCGCACTGTAACGTGAGTTATGGAAACGATGTTAGTGAACTTTTTGCTTATACTGATGTCAGAAATTAGTTTGCAATGTACCAATGTTTTAATATGCAGGGAAACATTTTGTTGTGCAACATATCAGATACAGAAAAAAAAAACCTGCACCAGAGTTCATTGCATTTAGGTAAACAAGGTAAGAGTGTCAAGTGCAAAGTGTGCTAGCTAGTCGTACCTAAAGGGCAAGGTATCAGTGATATTATTGAGGCTGCTACAGCAAGTGCTGCCATTTATAATAACTGCCAGCTTACCAATCGGAAGGTGAAATAGTTCCACGATTAGACATGTAATCACAACTGGGTCACTATAAAGAAAGATGGTACATAATTTAATTGATTGAACAGTCTTAAATTTATTTATTCCCCTAAAGAAATCAGCATCATAAAGGCAACTTTTTGACATCCATTAATTATATAATTAATATTATGATTAATACAGATATAAAGTAAAATCTTGATTATTTGACCTTTGAATAATATTGATTAAAAGATTAATGACAGAAAAAGTAGCAGTTCATTAGTATAATATAACCCATTTTTACCGTAAGTTTAAATTGTAATTTCAATTAATTGAAATACATGGCCAGTCTATTTTCATGATATTGATGATGTAATCAATTGAGGTTTAATCAAGATTTTACTGTAAATATATTTTTATAACACACAAAACAAATCATATTATTATTGATAAATATGATAATAATTAGAAATATTGTAGTACCTGGTAAAAACTATGAAAATTCCTTTCTCCTGGTTGTTGGAAAACGACTCTACATTTTTCAAGGAGGTAATTGTTAATGTGACCTCCAATCGGATCTCCTTTAAAGTCAAAAATGATGTCCATATATTTTCCGAAGCGGGATGAGTTATCATTCCTGTTGGTTTTTGCATTACCAAAAGCTTCGAGAATGGTATTTGACTGCAGCAGCACATATTTTACCCTGAAGGTACAATGAGTTTAATGACAACTATATTAGTATAAAAAAAAACAATTAGTTAGTTGAAGACAACAATAACACAGGTAATTAAAAATAGAATAGAAAACCTTTCAATTTCCTGACGCTGGCTGATGTTAGTCACGGCTGCGATATATCTCATGATGATTTTTGATGCCTCAGTTTTTCCTGAGCCACTCTCTCCCGATATCACAACGCATGTATCCATTCCTTGTTGTTTCATAACTGTATGGCACCTGTCGGCGATGGCGAAAATATGCGGAGGATTTTCAAACATTTCCCTTCCTTCAAATAAATTCTGTTTATTCATTTGGAATTTTAAATAACAAGTAAAAGTAAAATCATATAGAGATTTTTAAAATTGAACAGAACCAAAACTATGTGAATTCTTATTAAATATTAAGAATTATTTTCATTACCAAAACTATCTTTGTAAAGGAATCACTAGCGGATCCAGGATTTAATTTTGGGGGGGAGCTTTAGCCCGAAAGCTTTTTTATTCATAAAAGTAACGATAATTACCTTGGAAAATAGGAAAGAAACAAGTACCTATATGAACTAGTGTTTAAGTGATTCCAAAAGCCCTTTTAAATGTAATTACACGAATAATTATACTTTAAGAGATAGTTTTTTAATATTTTTTTTGATAAAGCATGGTTATATTTTACCATTTTGGAGGGGCTTCAGCCCGAAGCCCCCCCCCTCCCCCGTAGATCTGCCCGTGAAAGGAATTATAAATAATGATTTAGTATGAATCAAAAGTGATTAAGCAAAAGAGGAAAAAAAAATACTAATAAGGCAAATCTTAAGAAAAAAACATCAATCAACAGTACAGATAAACCTGTACCTGCACATAGTTTTGGACCTTGAAGGGTCTTGAGTTCAGTATGTGAGAAGGTACTGTAGCAAGGACAATGGTTGTGCAGAAAGGTGATTGTGTACAGATATATATTGAACCACAGTAAAGATATATATTGAAATTAATTCAATAAGCATGACTAATTTAAATACTGTTAAGTCAAATAAAAACAAAACAATTTATATGAATAAGTAAAATGAAACCAAGACAAATGATTTCTGAATTAGTTAAATTCATATAATGTAAATCATGAATTTAATTTTCTACCTTCTACCAGAAAATTTACAAAGATAGGAAATAAATTATGTCAGAAGGTTTCCAGAAAGTAAGCTGAAAATTTTATAAATTAACAAAAACAAGTGATCAATCAATTAAGGCATTTTCAATACACTTGCCCGATCATTATATGATGTAAATTTAATTTGTTCTAAAGAGACTTTATCCCAAGAATAATAATGATAATTTTCATTTCATTACAATCTAGATACAAAGAATCAACCGCCTAAATACTACACTCTTTCTTTAGAATTATAGGTATCGTTGTAGGAACAAAAATCTTATTATAAGCAATGCCCTTACTCTTTTGTTCTGCAAAACAATGGGGAGTTAAAAATCACCACAGAAAACAATAGCAAACTAACAAGCAGTTGGTGTTACAAGTTATATTTTTCTGTATCAATGTTTGACCTGATATCTACACCAATTGTAGTAGATACATGTTTGCTGAAGTATAATTTTTTTGGAGAATTTCAAAAACAGTTAGTTAATAATAGGAATATAATTTATCCTAAATACATAATATTATACAAATCAATATATGTATTAAGGTACTACACTTTTAAGTTGAAACAAAATTAATGCAAAATAGATGTGTTGAGTATTAATCATTATTTCATAAGTTAAAATAAAAAATTACAAAAACTACGAATTTCAGGATAAGAGCCTGTAGTAGAATAAGTTAATGCACACCTTATTCTACCAAAAAAAAAAGTGTAAAAATATCTAAAGATACAACATTTGGATATATTGAGGGCAAAAGACAATGGAAATTTAATTATATTTAATAAAATGAGCTAATCCATACATATTTCATTTTACATAATAAAATAATAGAAACCTTTGTATTTGGCTATTTCTTCGGGGCCATATATCTTGAGCTGACGATAAGGGTTGACAGAAACACATACTTCACCAATATACGTATAAATATGTCCAGCCATGTACCTAAAAAAATAAGTAAATTTAATGAATATATCATAAAATTTATAACAATGCCAATTAATTTTTATTAAATAAGTTTTCTAATATATCACATATCCAAATTAAATAGGGAGAAAATGTATTATCATTTTTTTTAAGAAAGAATGTAAAACTTTTTTAATTAAAACAATCTGAAATCAGTGACTATTCAAATAGTGATACAATTATTTCAAATAATTGAAGAGAAGGATGGTTGGTGTGATCAGTCGAAATAAAATAGTAAAAATAAATAATTGTATTTATTTTTACATTCGCCGATGTTTTGGCCCAAAGTTCAGGGCTTTTATACCAACAAGCGTAGACAGACAAACGTATTGTACTGTCTACGCTTGATGGTATAACAGCCCTGATGAAGACCTGAACTTCGGGCCGAAACATTGGTGAATGTAAAAATAAATACAATTATTTATTTTAACTGATCACACCAACCATGCTCTTCTTCATTTTTTTTTTTTTTAAACATACATTGTTTACCTGTCTTGAACTCCTTTAAGTCCGAAAAATGATTTAATAACATTCTCCATTTGCCATCCTATCATTATCATTACAATCTCCTCCTTATTTCGGAGGATGATAACTGAGAAACGATGGATATATCTAGGGTGATATTATTTTATATTTAGGAACAGTAATAACTAATTAACGTACATATTATGTTCTAATATGAGTAATTTCTGTCTCTGTAAGGTCTACTAAATGGACATCAAAATCAGTGTAGTCGACCATTAATCAGATTATAGCCTGACCGTGCATCTCATAGAATCCAAATACTGTTCATAAATTATTTCTTCCTTCATTGATTAAAAGACAAGTAAATCTTTAAAACATAGTTATGATCTCGAAAATAAGTTGGACCAACAAGGGTGTCCAGAATGGCACAAGTTGCGCCACCATAACTTATGATGTGGCTGTGAATTTGGAAGTGAAACATATTTTTGTTTGAATTTGGAGAAACTTTCAAACCAAAATACAAAAGTTGACCGTTGCATTATAAAGGAAGGAGATGGTCCGGGGTGGCGGTCATAAATAGGCTAAATAGTGGCAAAACTATTTTATTAAAAGCCAATGTTTCAACCCGACTTTGCAGGTATTCTTCAGGGAGGTGTGTTCAGCTAGAAGTTTCACTTAGAACTTGGGTTTAATTTGGGTTCTAAGTGAAACTCCTAGCTGAACACACCTCCCTGAAGAAGACCTGCAAAGTCGGGTTGAAACATTGGATTATAATAAAATAGTTTTGCCATTATTTAGTCTATTTATGAACGCCACCCCGGACCATCTCCTTCATTTCTTTCATTTATTCCTACCTACATTTATTTCTTAGAGGATCCACGGAATGAATCTTGACCTTAACACTCTAGTTAGAATAGGTTACATTGTACCTCTAGAACAAAAAAAAAAGAGAGAGAGGAATACTGAACAGACCAAAGCAAGTGTAGCTGTATATAAACTACAATAGCATAATTCTACTTTTACTTGAAAAGTTTTTAAGAAGAGAAGGGTAATCAAATTTTTTGGAAGGTAGTTTGGAAACCCTAGAGGGATGAACATCCTAGGACCAACTATTCCATTGAGAATACAATTGATTGACATACCAAATCGCCACTTCATATTTTTTAATTAAAAAAGACAGAGAAGAACGGCAAGAAGGCCAAATAGTCGTAAAACAAATTCATTAAAATAAGAAAAGAAATTTAAAATTCAAAATTTACATTACATTATTTAAAATATTACTATTGTTTGACTTTAAAAAATCTAACAAAGTTCAAAAACTGTAATCATTCACTCATTGTAATTCAAAACACGTAGTAAAATATTAATCAAGAACATCACTAATATAAAAGAAGAGGCTATTAAATTGTCATTAATTTCACGACTATTATTAGATTTAAAAAATAAATGAAAACTATTATCTTTCGGAGTAGGGTCGGCCATCGCGTGGATTGTAGGCACCTGAGGCGAGATTTCACCAAGTGCCCACACCTACAGAATCTCTAAAATCCCGAAGCCAATACCTACTTATTTACTCATTTAAAGAAATTTTATACCTTTCCGCTTCCACAAATTTCGAGTTTACATATGATTGTAATTTTCATAATCTGATACGGACATCTTATCCAAATAACTGTTTTGTAATTATTCATTTTTGAAGTTCTTTGGGTTTAATTTTTGTATTTGATCCATGGTTGAGAATTTCGGTTAAGAATTTTATCGAGACACTTATAAACATTATCATACCATTTAAAGGAGTTCCAAAGGAATACTATGATAACAATATTGACAGAAAATTAAGAGGAAATTAAAAGCAAATACATATAAAGATAAGAACAGGAAATTCTAACACACTCCGGAAAATCATGCAAGAGCTGCAAATTTGGAAATGAATTGAAGTATTTCGAAGAATGTGGATGACAGGCATCATTATTGTAAGATAAAAGATCTGGAGCGCACATCACACGACTTTCACTTACCACCTTCTTCTTAGCAGAAATAAGTATTTTCAGACGAAGTGAAAGTAAAAATTATAGAAGCTATATTTATTTACATTTCATAGTGGGTATTTTTATTTCTTTAATTACCCTTATAGATACAAAATTTAATTTTTATATCGCTGTAATCTATAGAATTAAATATTGAAAAATACCAACGATAGCATTTATGAAAACCGCATATGTATATGTACGTAATGTTGTCGGGATCCGTATTGGAAGCTTGTTCTAATCTTTAGGACGAGCTCATATATTCCTCCATTACAACTATTATCCGTTACGATCTCTTATTTCTCCTTTAGTTAATCATCAAATTCTGTCATATTTTATATCAATCTACTATTTTCCTATCAAAGAATAATGTGAGATGTTTTTTATTTAAAAAAATAAATAAAGGAACTTTAGAGGAAGCTAATACTGAAAATTGGCCATTTAGAAAAATGCAAGTCTGCCAGAATAAAGCCACTGGAACACAAAATGGCAGCCAGGTGAAGATAGGTAGAGATATTTTTCTCACAAGGCCTGTGGACATGGTCAATTAATAAGAAAAAAATCTTAGTATGAAATAAGTCACCTTTTTTGGCACGGGCTAAGCGGGGGGCGGAGTGACCGAGCAGGCTAAAGCGTTTGTAATAGATGCTTTGCCTGCCAACCTGATTACCTGTAGATTACGAGTTTGAGTGGCGGTGGCATTTAACCCAAGCCATAAACACCTGCACCTACTGAACCCTAACCTGCGAAAATTCCATAGAGTCGAAAAGGCGAGAAATAATCTAAAAGTAAGGCATTGCTGCCAGATCTCATCAATATTGTGCTGATAACACTGGAGCAAATGTGGAATGACAGATTATCCTGTATCTTTCATTTATGGGTTTTGAATGGCATTCGACTAAATCAACTAACATATCATGTGGAACCTTCTAGAATGGTACGGGCTCCCCGACAGGATTATTAATCTTATAAGGGGCCAATATGATGGGTATGCCAAATCGTTCAGGAAGAAGTACTCTATAACCCAGTCAAGATAGTAACCGGAGTGATGAAGAGATGCTTACTACCAACTTTATTCATCTTTGTTCTTGATTGTATTAAAGAGCAACAAGCAATGAGAGGAAGAAAGCGTGATATTCAGTGGGGACTGAGAGAGAGACTTGAGGATCTTGACTTTGTGGACTCGCACAGAGATTCAGTGCAAGCTGGATGGTTTTAGCCAAATCGCAAGCTGGGTTGGACTGTGAATTAACGAAGGCAAGACAAAAGAGATGAGGACGAATGAGCGATACCGGGATCTCCTTCTCCTGATGAGCAAGAACGTGTAACAGGTCGACTCTTTTAATACAACCGTTAAATCAGTTCTGCTTTAAGGCAGTGAAACACGAAAAGTAACCGAAAGAATCACCCGCCCGTTACTGACTTTCGTTAACCCAGGGGTGCCCATCCCCTCTAAAGTCAATGGCGCATGAACCTACCCTCCTCCCCCTCCCACTCCCAATATATTTTCTTAAAAACAGAGCTAGCACACGTAGAATTTAAAAAAATCGTAGATCATATACAATTACACTGCACTTTGTACCATGTTTTCCTCTTGCCTCTTATTCTGAAACTTTTCATTCCGAAAATTCACAATTTCTTTGAAATGTTTCCCCCACAAAAATTCAAAAACCCGTCAAAATATGGCCCATCGAAAATGTTCATGGCGAAACTTGAAATCCCCTTCTGGCCACCCCTGCGTACAATACTGGAACTTTGGTGGCCAGTGAGCATATCCAATGAGAGACTATGGAAAGCCATCAGCCAACTATCAACCCATTAAGAGATAAAAAAGCAAAAATGGAAAAGGGTAGGGCACACACTGAGGGAAAAAGAAGAAAGATTGGTGCAGGTCCGCAGATACGAAATTAGACCGAGTTGGAAAACCACAGAATGAGTCAATGCAGATTGCAGCTGTTAAGAGACAAATGGAAAGAACCCATGGATGCTTTATACTCCAATGAGAGTCAAAGGGATTGATAAATAATTGTATTGCTCCAAGTAAATAATAATATTTGTTACTAATTGATTAATTTATTTGGACATGAAAATTATAATAACGACAAGAAACGGTCATTCCAATGTGATAACAACAGTCAAAGAAGCGCCGAACTATTTCTAGACCTACCGTCACAAAATAACTAAGTCAAGGATAGCAACAACCTGTGATCTCATCCAGCATTAAGAAATTTATTTCCTGCTCAGAAAAGCCAGATGATTCTAATGGACAGTAGCAGGTTTAGATTTTTTTTTTTTTTGGATGGCACTTTTTTGTTTATAACGGTATTACTCTGGAATAATTTTTTTTAACTTCCGTGGCGAAAATTCTCCGTGGCAAGGAAGGGGAAGACGAAAAAACATATATTACAAATTAGTTTAAAATTTAAAAATAAAGATTGTGGTTGTTAAAGCATCCATCTCAAATCACTCACAGAAACAGTTATGAAA